ATTAATATTTGCATTCGTAGCCTTCTGTTCTACCCACAAAGTGGCTTTCGGTAAACAACAACACGATAAACAAAACAAGAAAGACGTACCAAAGGCAAACACACCGAGGAAGCCCTTTTCCCCGTGCAAGAGACTGGTGGATAAATTAACTCATGCAGCCCTGATGGCAGATATGCCACGAAGCAGCTGGCGTTTGCGTTTGCTTTTCGTTCTCGGCACCAACGCAATCTGGTACCAACGTTCTCTGGCAGGAGCATCACTGGCCAATTAACCACGAAAGGCTCCCAGGAGGGGTCCTTCCGGGTCAGGGGTGTGTGGTTTGTTTCTTTCTGAGCTACCCTTCATTCCTTGTTTCACATATAAAGGGCGAGGAAAACCTGCGTGCTCGCTTGCAAGTTGTCCTCCAGCTGCGCTGACATTTAGTCAATTCTTCCACATCTCGATTTTACGCGTACGAGCCGTTAATAAAAAGATTTTTAAACGGAGGCCTGGGAGGAGCTACTCACACACCATTTCTCCCTCTTCCAGACACGACAGAGCAAAGTCTTGCTTGTGTGCATCTTCTTTGCAACTGAGAGCCTTTATTCTGTGTGACTGCAGTACATTCTGCAGTGAGGTCTGCAGGTTTCAGGATTAAGGCATTTTTGAATTCAGTCCTTGCACCGAAAGCGGTCGGCACCTCTGACCTACGGGGGCTTGGAAAGGGACCTTTGGCCAAACGCCCTCACCCCAGTCACTAAAACTCACACCTGAATCTATGGGAGAAATGCACATTTTGGCTTGCTTTTCCATTCTCATGATTTTCTAGGGCTGAGTTTGCATACAGTTGTGGAAGGCAAAGACTAGGCTGCCAGCCTAAGGGATTCATGTGAACTTGCTCAGTGTGAAGTAAGACAAGGACGTGCTGGTCAGATTCACGGGACCTGGAATGTACGTTTGCCAATTTCTTTGACATCTCTAATGCCTGTAAAGGTTTTATTGATCTAATTGCTGTATTATATGCACCCTGCTTTTGACACTGGCTTCAAGGGCCCCTTTCTATTTCATTTTTATTGTTATGAGCCATCCGGAGACATCCAAGGCCTAGACCCAGATTTAATGAATGCAATAAAAGGAGTCTGGCATATCGTGAAACTAACGCTTGCTCCTTCCCGCTTCTGAAGGGATTCTGTAATCCGGGAGCACAGCTGGGAAGACTCACAGGGCATCTTAGGCCCAACCCTCTCCTGACCAGAGGATGCCTCTGAGCATGAGCAGAGTGATGCAGCCTCAGATAGGACTGCAGAACCTGCAGAACAGGATCTGCACAAGCTGGGCCTGGCGCCTGCTCCTTCCCAAATCCAAACGCAAAACCTGGGGTGCTGCTTCTTGCTGTTCTCTTTGCACCCCCGTCCTTCTGCTCCAGCCCCCCCCCCACTGCCTTGTCGTGTGCAGGAAAATGTGCTTGCCACATGCGTTATGCCGAATTCTCCCAAGCAGCCCAGCTCTTCAGAGCTATTTCCACTTGGGTGGGCATGTCGGGAGCGGAGCCGGCTGGTGCCGGAGGTCAGACTAGATGGCCCGGGAGACCCCTTCTGACTCGCTCTGTTTCTGTGTTTCTGCCTGTGCTGTTTTTCCTATCATGGAAGACTCGCTTGCTTCCCTTCCCTTCCCTTCCCCACTCCACCCCTGTCCCACCAAGTCCTCTTCTGGCAGTGTGCCATCTACGGAGAAGAGGCCCGCAAGCCAAAGAGCGAGAATGCAAAGCTGAGAGCAGGAATGTAAAGCAGGACGCAGCCCTTCCCAATTTACAGATGGGAAAAGTGAGGCTGCAAAGAGATTTGCCTTTCCAAATGAACCCTGATCCTAAGCTGAGAGAGAAGACCCCCGCCACAGAGGAGACCCCCACCAGGAGCAGGCTACGATATCAACTTCCAAGCAGGGATGGATGAAAACCTCAGCCTCCCCTTTTTCTGCATTCAAAAATGTTTAAGTCTCCAGTTCCTTCTGTCCTGCCGAGGAAGAAATCTGCAAATTTGGCTAACGATTGCTTTGCTGTTTGTTTGTCAAACCACCGATCAAAACAAGATTTTCACCCGGCTGCACCAGCCGGATTCAACAGATACAACTATTCTGAGCATGCTGTGGCCACGTCGCGCCCCACAGCTGTTCAAGGTGAGCAGCCGCTTAGGAAAACAGCCAACGAGTTAGCAGCCCGAATTTGGCACCTTTGATGCGGCTGACTATGGAGGGTTCAAGCCCCAGAGTTTTGAGAGCTCAGTGCCCCAAGCCCTCAGCCTGGATTCGTAGATTATGTCTTCCTGGGCTCATTTGTGCTTTCTTGTGAAGAAATGGTCGTGGTACTTCTGATACACTTATGGCAAGTGCAAATTTCACTAAGTTCCTAAGAAACCAGAGCACAGAAACATGGAAACACAGAAACAGGGCGAGCCAGAAGGGGCCTCCTGGGCCATCTAGTCTGGCCCCCGGCTCCAGCTGGCTCCGCTCAGGACATGCCCACCACGTGCGTGTCTAGCCTATCTTTGAACAAAAGCTTGCCCATCCTCACTTCTGGGTTCGCTTTCTACCAACAAGGATTTAGCTTTCAAGCTGGGGCCCTTTCCAGATCTACTCTCGAGTAAAACCCATGTGGGGTGGGGATTCGAGTACTGGACTGGGACTTGGAAGAGTCAGGTTCTAGCCCTCACTTGGCCAGGAGACTCCCTGGGCAACCTTGGGCCAGCCACTTGCCCTTTGCCTTGCCTCCCTCACAGGGCTGTTGTGAAGACAAAATGGAGAAGTTGGGGGTTTCTTGGAAGAAAAAAAGCAGCATGAAAATATGTCAGTAGAACGAGCGAGCGAGCGAGCGAGCGAGTGCCACCAGCCTGCCGCTCTTGATTCGGGACCTTCCCATTCCCAACTCTAGCTTATATTTGCTGTCTCTTCCATTTTTAAAATGAGGCTCGGAGTAGATTTATTCTGCAATCCTGCCAGAAAGCACCTTGTGCATCGAAGAAGGGAAGCAGCGCTCTGAGCAAACCAGCACGTTTGCCCCTGCAGGGAGTCTGTTTCAGAAGCAGGGAGACCCACGTAGCTGGCCACAGGCCTGGCTTTCCCCCGTCAAGTCATCTCGCCCCCTTCAGAAGCTACCCAGTTCCCCGTGCCTTGTAGCAGAGGCTCCTGCCTGTCAGTGCTCTGCCCACCTGGGCAAGCCCTCCTTCTTTTCACCGGTCAGACAATCCCAGCAGGCGATGTGGTAGCGGGACGTTGGGAAGCACCAGGCACCCTCTGCAGGGAGTCCCCGCAGAGTCTCCAAATGCAGGCGTTTGTGTCGCCCTGGGTCACAAACCGATTCAGGCAGTTTTTAATTCCAGCCAGAACGGGTCTTTCGGAAAGCTGATGGGACTCAGAGAGCAAAGCTGGCTGCAGCGTGCTGGGAGCCATGGGCCTTCCTTCTCTCTAAACATGCTTGGAAATCGCACTTTTCATTGCGCATGTGAGACCAGGCCATCTCAAAAGGCTTTGCTTTGCAACAGGAAGGCTCACCGTATGTATGTTTTGCTGGGAAAACCAGTTTCCCCCCATGCCAGCTTCTGTGCGGGCTGAAGCGAAGGTCAGAGGGAAAGGGAAGATTGGGCAGGAGGGTAACGGAGGAGGACGGATTCCATCCAGTCTCTTCCACCTGCTTTTTCTGTTGCTCGTCAGCCATTTTTCATTTTGTCATCTGCTCATTCATGGAATGGGATTCTTTTTCTGCTCAAATTTCATTCTGCTTGTGCTGATGCACCTTAGCAAGATCGCACATGTTCATGCTTAATGTTCACTCAGGCAAATGCACAAGTTGATGCAAATGGACACCGATGCTCATTATCAAGAATGCACATTAAAATGAATGCAAAATAGTGCAGATCCCACCACACACACACCAGAAGTGAAAAGAGGATTTGGAAGTCCAGAGTCCGTGTGACTCAGAAAAAGCCAGTCTGCTACAGAGTTGGCAGGTTGAATTCACTGAGCTCTGAAACCGACTGACTTGAATACAGGAATTGCTAACTGGAATTCAGTTTTTCTTTGGTTTCTGCATTTTCTTGGACATTTGCAAAACAGTTTTGACTCCCACATACCCACAAAACAAACACCTCTGCATTTCAAGCTAGAGCTACATAGTTGTATTTTAGTTTGTAAACAACAACAACACACATTTCCTGGTGGGTTTTTGTTGTTGCAAACAAAAGCACGGATAGATGTGGAAACACGATGGAACAGATTCGTGCAAGGCTCGCAATGGACTGGCGTGCCCCTCCATTCTCTGAGTTCTAATATTATGAGCAAGGGAAGGAAAAACCTTCCCCAGCGACTTCTTCTGCACCATGCATATTTTAATATGCCTCCGTCGTGTCCCCCGTTTCCTCTCCTCCTTTTCCCTAAGCTGAAGAGCAGGGGGCCTCGCAACCTTTCCCACTGGGCGATGCTCCCACTGCTTATGTACCCAGCTTATAACTGCATCTTTTCTGCATCTTCTCCTGGCCTGCAATAACGTTTTTTGCAAAGGGAAGGAAAGGTGTGGCAGGGCCTGCGCCACAGACGTGGTCCTGCTCTCCCCGTTGCCTTCCATCCCCCGTCTTTCTCCTCCAATATATATATATATATATATCGCTTCTCTCTTTCTCCCGCTCCAACACACACACGCAGCTATACGTCCTGACTTCAAATATAGACACGCACCTCCCACACACGGCCTAAAATAGATTCAGAAAATGCCTCCGAGCAGGAGCTGGGGCACTTCACAGGTTCCCGCCTGGGTGTACCTGCCCGTCGCCCTTTCCCACGGCTCAGCCCCGTAGCGTGCAACCAGGCAAGGGAACGGTGCTGCCGCCGTCGACATTCACATGCCCCGCATTCCAGCCCGCACGCGTCTCAGGCGCCTGCCCCCTCGCCGAGTTAGTGGGTCTAGCGCAGCCGGTTATGGGGGGCAGGGGCGCGTACTGGGCGAGGCCAGGCTAGCGCCCGGCCCGTCTTACCCTGAGTGCTCACAGCCACGCGGAGGGTGGAGCGTGGGTCCCCAACGCCGGGGGCCGGCCGGGCGTCAGGAGCCAAGCTAGCAGGATGAGACCCCTGGGGGACCTCCGGGAAGGGTCCGGAGGTGGAGGCTGCCACGGTCTGCATCTTTCCTGCGTTGCCGGTGACAAATACAACATCAGCATGAGAAGAACAACGAAAAAGCGCATGGGGAGAGGCGCATGGGGGCCGGGCCGGGGGTGCCAGCGGTCTCGGGGGGGGGGGCAACGTCCGGAGAACCCGCACGGGCTGAAAACCGTGGGCACTTTCTAGCAACTGGACTGTTTTGGGGAGGACGGACGAATCAAGAGTGGTGCCCCCCAGGGAGTGGGGACTGCAATACACCCGAGCCCAAGCTGCATTGGGACCAGGGTCCAAGGAAGCTCAAGGACACCAGTCCGTGCTGGCCAGGCTGTGGGGCTGCCCCGGGCTGCAGTCAGAGGGGCTCGTGACAGGATGGCAAGCCCGGGAGACGTGGGGAGGGTTCAGAGGTCCTCACCGGCTTGCAATATCACCTGCCTGCCCCACCTTTCGAGCTGGGGGACCAGGCACAACCGAAAATGGGCCAGCAAACCCCCTCTGCAGACACCGCCTGGGAGGAGGGACTCCACGGACCGTCCCGCGTGGCCTGGCAGCTGAGCCAGGAGGGGCAGCTTCCTGGGCCAGGAGGTAAAGGAGGCCTACGGCAAAGGTAAGGGGGCAGGCCCCTCGGATTTGAGTGCTGCTCTGGGGACTGATCGCTTGGAAGAGGTGGACAACCCGGCCACGGGTGGCCTCTTAGCCCCGCTCCTCTCTCCTGCCTTAACGATGAAGGGATGGGGAAGACAGAGGGGATCGGATCTCCCCAGATGCTGTGGGACCAGGACTCCAATTGGCTGGTACCAGCCAGCCCAGTGGTGTGGGATGATGGGCATTGCAGTCCAACACCATCTAGAGATTTTTTGCCGCCAGCCCTTCTGAGGCAGGGGAGAAGGGAAAGCAGGCCTTGCTGAGAGAACTGTTCCCCCTCCTCTGCCCTCGGGGTCCCTGTCCCCTGGCGTGTCGTGCCTGTTAGGCCACCCTGCTTCATCACCCCGTTCCAAAGGAGCCTTTGGGCTGAGGAGCTGCACAGAAGTGCCCAGCGCACACGCATCCACGGGGGAGAACCGCTGGGGCCCCACTGGTGCTTTCCCCCAGCCCTAAGCCACTGGCCAGGCTGAACGGGCATCATGGGAGCTGTAGTCCTGCACCACGGGGGAGCACCAGGCGGGGAAGCCTCCTGCAAAAGCTGCGAACCACAAGAGCCACCTGGGCTAAAGGGGCGGGATATACGTTTAATAAACAAGTAAGCTCATCTCGCTTTCAGCCTCGCCATCTGCCTCCGAGGGGAGTGGGGCGCACGCCCCCCCCCAGGTCCCCTGGAGGAACAGGCAGCGTGCCCCAAGGGGGGGCGTGTGGCCCGGTGAGGACCGGCGAGGACGGGGCAGCCCCGGCCCGTGGGCGCGTCCCCGAGTCCCAGCACCAGCCGGCGGCGGCCAGCCTAGCGAGGCCGGATCGCTTGCTTGCTTGCTTGCTTGCTTGCGTGTCAGCCGGCCCTCCAGCCGGTGGCGGCTGAGCCGGCCAAGTTCCGCTAATGGATCCCAGACGCTGCGAGCCGGTTTCCCCTTTCTCGCTCAGCAGCTTTTGCAGGAAGCAGCGGGACGTGCTGCCAAGAAAGGGCCACGAGGAGCCAAGGCACAGGGGCCGGGGGCTGGGCGGGAAGCACGTGGAGGGGGCCGTCACCCCCAGCTGACCCCGCGTCCAGGAGAACGGGCCGGGAGAGCCCGGCGGGGCAGCTCCGGGCCGAGTCCAGGTGAGCCGGGGGAGAGGTCAGGCTCCCACCAGGCGGGGAGCCTGCCGCCCCCTAAAAGCCACCCCACACCCTGACCCGCTGCCCGCCTGCCCCGAGGCGGTGCTGACGGAGTGTGGCAAACCCTTCTCCCTCCGGCTTGCTCTCCGCCTCCCCCCACGCAGTGAAATCAAGAGATGCCTCCCCCGCTGGGTAATTAATGGAGTCGCGTTGGCTTTAATTTTCTTCCCCGCGTCTGATTGGCTCTGCCCTTCCCTCGCTGGGGAAGTGGGCCTTTCTTCTGGGGGGGGGGCGTGCGAGGCCCCCTGTGGCAGCTGATTGTGTGTGTGGAGCACGACCGGCAGAGCGGCCTTCCCATCTCTCCTGCCCTCGCCTCGGCTCTGCCTCTCTCACCTGGGCTGTGCCCCCCACCTGCCCGCCCACCTCTGTTGCCCCTCTTTGCACCCGGGCCTGTCTCCCCCGCCCCTCCGTGTCTCTCTCGTTCTCTCTCGACGTTGCGCCCCCCGCCCGCTGTCCCGGCCTGCCACACGCGATGCACAGAAAGTCTGCAAGGGGAAAGGCGCCCCCGGTCTGTGTGGACGCATCTCCTGCCTCCGTTCAGGGGCAGCCCGCGGGGATTTCGGGGGCCGCTCCCCGTTCCCTATCAAACAGCTGGGCTAGAGCAAGATGGAGGTGGAAATGGCAGCCCTCTGGATCGTGTGGATTCTGACCCTCATCGGCCCTGGCTGGGGCGGATGGGAGAGGGAGTCTACGCAACAGCTGGTAAGCCACAGGTCTCCCGCCCCCCCCGGCTTGGATCGAGGGCAGAATGGCAGGCATCGCTGCATTTAATTTTTTTTAAAAAATCCCCCACAGCCCATTTCACAGAAAAATAACCGCCCCTTTCCCACTGAGCCGAGGAGGGGGGACAAATCCTGAGCAAGCTGAGGACGTATGCAAGGAAGCTGGCTGCTGGCCAAAGGGGGGGACATGGGGAAAAGCGGGTTGAGCACCTCTTGCAAAAAGTGCTCTGTTTGAAGGGCCTCAGGTCCGAGCCCAGCAGGGCCCTCAAGCTGCCGGCCCACAGCTGGCACAGGGAGGGGGTGGAGTCCAGATGTGGCCACACTTATGTATTTAAGGCTTGCACAGCCGGATGAGCTTCTCAGAGTAGCCCCGTAGAAGTCAGTGGAACAAGTCCACCTCAGGTCTGGATCCAAGCCATGGCTACCTGCGTTCCTATTTAAATTCCATTTTCTCTTCATTTCCAGTGGAGACCTGAGGCTTCAATGCCAGCAGGGAGATGTATCTGCTCCGAGTTTTAGTCCGAATTTTTAAAGATCTCTCCACGATATGGAAGTCTGTTCCCCAGACAGGCCGAGCCCATGGAGCGCTCCTTAGAAGCCCAGACGAAAGCCTAGACTGGATACCGCCCACGCCCCCAGATCTCGGAGCCCAAAAGCTGCCACCATAAATGTGCCATCTGGGCCTCTATATCAGGGTGTGCAAATATTATGCAAACCAGGGGCCCCTTCTGCCCTTATTTCGTGTTACGAATTTCACTCCTCATGGGGATACTTAAGCGGGGGCCAACCTCAAGAAGGGTGGGCATGATCTGGGACAGAGGATTAATATTAATTGCTGTGCCAGCAAGATGGGATGGTGGGTGGGGGGAAGCCAACTGGAGAGGCGGGAGGGATGCTGGTGAGATGGGATGGAGAGGAAAGCGCGCTCGACATGGGCAGGAAGAGGTGGGGCCGCATGAGCCACCGCTACTCCAAGAGCCCGTTCTTTCGGGAAGGGGCTTCGTGGGAATCCCTCTGCCGGACACAGGCCTTTCTGTTCCCCGTCGCCTCCGCCGTGTGAGGAAGTGTCTGTCGCCCCCCCAGCAACTGAACTTTCCCTGGCCGAACCAATATTTACCCATCCAGCCTTGGCCAGCAGCCACCTTGGGCCGGAAGGGCAGCTGCGGCAGGCCGGTTGCCACAGCAACGCGGGCAGCCCAGCAGCGCGTCTGCATGGCGGAGGGTCTCAGGCTCTCCGCCACGGCGCCCCAGTAGAGAGGCGCCTGCGGGGACTTCTGAAATGGCCGATCCAATATGGCTGCCCAGCGGAAATTCCGCCATGGGCGTTTGGAGCCCGGTTTCTACGGGGTGTTGGGGGCACTTCTGCGCGGAGAAGCAATGGAAGATGAGCAGGGAAAGGGGACGGGAATTCCCGGGGGGTTCAGGAGAGGAAGGAGGTACTAACCATAGGCAGAGTTGCTGCTGCCATCCCGATTTCCGGTGGCTGTGACGACGTCTGGAAAGGAAAGGAGGCGGTAAGAGACGGGGCGGTGGGAAAAGCCGAGGGAAGGTGGTGCGCAGAAGCGGCGTGTGCAAGGGGAGCCGAAGCGGCAGCGGCGGATCCCAAGGCCGGCCGTCCTTGCCGCCGGACCCTTGCGATGGTCTCTCCGGACGGCGCTGGGAGGTCAAGGAAGCAACAGGCGAGTGGCGGGGGGTGAAGCCAGCCAGCCCCGTGTCAGTGGGATCTCTGCACACCCCAAGCCCCAGGGGGACTTGAAGCACGGAAAGAAGCAACGCATGGCTCTTTGACTCTGGCACAAAGGGGCTAATCTTCCCGCCCCCGGAAGCAAAGCACTGTCCTAAACGTTTGCTGGAAAAACACGCTTTCTGCGTACTGATCTGCGTTGCTGGAGGATGGACTGAAAAGTCTCTTTTCGTCTTCTGCACAGACGCACACGTGTTGGCTCCGTTTCCGACCTTTTCCGGCGACCGGTTGCCCCGGCCTAACTTAGGGATAGCCGGAAGGGCCCGAAAGCTGCAAAGGGGAACGTCAGCTCCAATCCGCACCCCGTTCACAGAGGCAGGTAAACCCAGAGGCTCTTGCAAGCTCACCTCTGTGGCTCACGAGTCCCCTTCATACTGGTTATCAGCCAGTCTGGCTCCCTCCTTCTCCCCCGAGCGATCTCCGAAGGGCGCCCCCCCAAATCCTAGCTCTGCGTGGGGCGTTTCCTCATTACCCAATTTTCCTGGGCCTCTACGTAGACACGAGCCCGGTGTTAATATTATTACCGTTATTTAATGCGGATTAATGTTAGCCCTCTTCGTCATGGTAAGTGAGACTCCCTGGGAGCTTTTCCTGCTGCTGTGGCCGCCAGCCAGGAGTTTGGTGCCTGGGGTCCCAGGAGCCGGACCAGATGGGAACAAGACCCCTCTTCGGAGAGGGTGACCCCTCTCGCTGCTCTCCCCGTCCCTGCGGCACGGCATCCCGCTTCCCCCTTTCGCTTCCCACAGCCCTTTCAGGCCAAGCGCTTCCAGCTCAACAGCTATTCACACGCCTGTCGAGGCCGGCCAGCGAGGAGGGGCTCCACACAGCCGTGTCTGCTCCGCTGGAAAGGGTAGTTTTAAAGCTGAACGGGGACGCGGCACTAGCCGCGCTCCCACCAAGAGCCATGCACAGCGGCAATGCCCCTTCCCGGTCACGGCAGCTGCGAGGAAGCCTCCTCTTCCTCACTCCCCACCCCCAGCCCAGGGCTACTCACCTTGACAGCTCCCCGTGTACCTGGCTGCATTTTCGACGTCTTGTTCGAATCCGCTTCTGCGGGGAGGGAACAAGAGAGAGAAATCTCATTACGCCTGCCGGGTTGATTAAACTCTCTGCGAATTAATCAATGGCTTGGCACCCAGAAAATGAGGGGAAGGTGGGAGAGGAAAATTCCAGCTATGGGCCCCAAAAGAGCTGCCCAGTCGGTTCCCTCTTTCTTCTGCTCTTCCCCTGCTGGGGCAGTTCAAGAAAATGTGTCGTGTGATGGATTGTTTTGCCATGTTGGCAAATTGCAGCTGGCAGTTCAAGAAGATATTCCAGGAATGAACCTAAACTTCACAGAAAACTCAAAGACCCTTTCATTTGGCTTAAAAAATAAAATAAAAAGACAAGGTTCTAGTTCTCATGACAGAGGAACACTGGGGGAGAGTCAGCTGTGTATGCTGACTAAGGAAGGTTCTTGGGCTTCTAACACGTAACACAAGAAGTCCAGGATGAAAGTTTGCTTTATTGTTAATTTATTGACTGTTTTAAAATAACCCATTTTTGCAGCCTGCATTCAAAGGGCTTACAAGGCAAGGTGGAGGTGGGAATTAAATTAAAAATGACCATGGTAGAAAATCATTATTTCAACATTTTGAAAAAAGTCAGACCCTGCCCTCTGCAGAAGTTTTGGACTATAACTCCCAGCATTCCTAGCCTATAGCCAAGAAAGATGGGAGTTGAAATCCAGAGAGGTCCGCCTGGCGCCGTCATTATTTGTTTTTCGGCGCCAGGCTAAGACCTTTTTATTTAAACAATATTTTACTAACATTTAATATTAACTATAGGTTTTAATTTGCAGCCGGAATGAATTGGGTTTTTAATTTGTATAATCTGTATTTTTATACTATGTTTGTTTATTTATGTAAGCCGTCCCGAGGTGTTAAGCGATGGGACGGCATACAAAAACTCTAAATAAATAAGTAATAAATAAATAAATATCTGGAGGGCATCCAATTAGGGAAGGCCTTAGATAATGCATCCAGCCACTAATGCCGTTTCTGATGGGCCCAATTAACTTGCATTCGGCGAGAGGAAGGAGAAGAAAACCACGAAAATGAAGACACGGGGATGGCCGGGGGGGATACCTGATCTCATTGTTGAACGCGACACAAGCGCCTGTGTGTAGCCAGACGCAGTACGGATCCCGGGAAGCCAGACAGCTCCTGGGTGGAAAGAAAGAAATCTGTGCTGAGCGGGGGAAGGACTGTGACGCCGCCATCTGCCCGTCGGTTTTCCTCTTGCGAGGAAGCCAAAGGCGCTTATGCAAACATGCTTCCCACTTTATCCTTACGAGGACCCTGTGTGGTAGGCGAGGCTGAGAATGAGTGACCAGCTCAAAGTCACCCAGGCAGACTCATGGTCCAGCGGGGACTCGAACCCGGATCTTCCGAGTCCCAGTCCTGTACTCGGGCCACTTCGCCGCATCATCTCACCCGGCGGCAGACAACCCAGGAAGGGCCCTCCTGTGCTTCATCGGCCCAAGACGATCAGAATTCAAATTTGCACAGTGAAACCCTAATAGATTTTCTGGTTTTGCTCCGGTAAAGTCGCTCCTGCATGGAGAACTGGAGGATGGACCAAAACTGGCCAGGTGATTTGCAAGAGGGGAATCCGCTCCTGTGGACCCATGTAGCAGAAATTCAGGCATGTGCCAGAACACACCGACGCACACACAGTTTTCAAACTGTGCAAAGCTATTTGTGCAAATTACAAGATCCTCGACTCCCAAGACCCCATTTCACTGGCAGAATGCACAAAAAGCACACTTTTTTTTCAGGAATTAGAAAAATGTAATTTGCCAGCATCTGCCACTGCTCACTGGAACACAGGTGGTGTGGGACTGAATCCGGCAGAAACAGAAAAGAATTCCCAGTGTGTCTATCCCTTGCCAAGGAGGGAGGGATGGGTGTCCACAGAATGGGGTGGGGGGGGGACATGGGACCTCCTGGGTCGAGTCCCCCAAGCTGGCCGGCAGGGGCTGCACCGTGACACCACGCCACAACGCTCGGGCACAAGGAGGCGGCACAGGGCCCAGCAAAGAGGCTTCCCCACACCGCGACCCACTGACCTTCGGCAGGTGCTATGGGCCCCGCAGCGACTGAGGGGCACCCGTACCACACAGCTGGAGAAGGCCACGTACAGGGCGTGGTTGGCCGCATCCAGCGTGAACCCCAGAACCCGCCGATCCGCCTTCCGGATGCTACACCTGGAGAGTGAGGGCGAGAGAGCAGAGCAGGTGTCTTTCCCCATCTTCTCGGGGTCCAGAGGGGGAAAATGCCGGCTTACAAGACAAATGCAGCCCTCCTGGTCTAGGAGGACAAATTCATTCCTCATCTGTCCCTTTCCCCTGGATCCACCCCCTTTCCACCAATTGTGTCCTTGCTTTACCAAGGTTCAAGGGAACCAAGGTTCAGTTTAGATGCCAGGAAGCACTTCCTAACAGTTAGGGCCCCGAGGGTGTGGAATGGGCTTCCACGGGAGGTCATTGAGGCCCCACTGGTGAGGGTCTTCAAAGATAGGCTGGACATGCACATGGTGGGCATGTCGTGAGCGGAGCCGGCTGGTGCCAGAGGTCAGACTAGATGGCCCGGGAGACCCCTTCTGACTCGCTCTGTTTCTATGTTTCTACATGTCATCCCCCTGTCCTAAAAGGCTGAATTCCTTCTGAAAGGCTTGGTAACAGAATGAAAGAGCTTTAAGGCACAATATATTGCGGTGGGTGGGGGTGGATTTGCCCCCCTCCCGCCATTTTGACTTTGGCTGTGCTCGGCACTGGAATGCCCCCAAGAGCTGCTCCGGAGAAGAATTCCGCCTGGGATTGAACAGGGTGCCACAAGCTGGTTCTAAAGCTTGCTTGGCTTTTCACTGGTTTCTCAAACTTGCCCCAGGTAAACGTTCACAGTTTTTAATATGTTCTATTTTTGTCTGAGCGGCATTCGCAGACAACGTTCTGCCATTTAAAACCTCCGGATTTGTTTGGTGGGTTTGCAAGCATGAGAGGAAAAAGCCCATGTGGCACGACAGGAAGCGAAGGAGGCCTTGCTCCTCCTCGCGAAGAGAGCGGGGCAGCGATTTCCACGCGGGCTCTCTAGACTGCACCTGCAAAAGCTGTTAAGACATGCTGGAACGCGACGGAGGGAGCGAGGGAGAGAGAAGGAGCTGATTCTGGATCCAAGGGACCTCGCAGCTGTGGAGGGAGGGAGGCCGGTGGTGAAGAGGGGAGTGTGGGTGACCTTGTGGCGAGACGCTGTCTCAGCCCGAACCATTTGTTCGAAGACTTGGTGACAGCCTTACACCCTTGGTGTGTACAACCTTCACATTCCCATTCAACCATCTTCCCGGTCCAACAGGCCCGGCAGGTTTTGGAAGCAAAGCAAAGGAAACAAAGCCAAGCTGGACCTGCTTAACTGGAAGTGGTTAAGTCAGCACAGAACGGTAAAGACCCGGTTGACAACTGCAGGTTGGAAGCGGGATGCCTGAAGCTCTGGTTCCTTCTGTATGAACTAGCCCATCGTTTACAGCCGTTGTCAGAGGAAATTTGACATGCGCAAGGCAGTCATGCCATGAGTGGAGCCGGCTGGAGCCGGGGGTCAGACTAGATGGCCCAGGAGACCCCTTCTGACGCGCTCTGTTTCCATATGACCCACCCCCTACAAAGGCTAGGCTGATGGGCACTCAAGACAGGGCCTTTTCAGCGACAGCACCCCAATCCTGGGAGCTCCCAACCGGGGAAGGCAGCATTGCTCCCTTGTGACCATATTTTAGATGGGCAGTCAAGGCCGGGTGGGGGATTCTGGGATGTGTAGCCCTTTTTCCTTGCTTAACCATGTATAGAAACACAGAAACAGAGCGCGTCAGAAGGGGCCTCCCGGGCCATCTAGTCTGACCTCCAGCATGAATGTCGTTGTTTTAAGGTTGGACTTTGATTTTAGCACAGTTTACAATGTCCCACCGGGACGTTTTCAGCAGGGGGGCCACTGAGAACTTCACCCGCCCTCCGGAGCATCTTTGCAAAGTCTAGCTGGGGTGAAACGCCCGGCCACCTCCGCCCCTCCCTCCGGACCAGACTCACTGGGATGGATGGTAGACGGAGACCTCTTCCAGCAGCAGCGTCTCCACGGTGGCGTTCTCGCTCATTCGGGAAAGCATCTTCAGCACCGTGCCGTCCTCCGAGCCCAGGAAAAGGACTGTGTAATTCCGGAAGGGGCCAGCCGCTGGGTCTGCAGCCAGGTGGGTCAGCTTGTACCTGGGGTGGGTGCAGAGGGGATGTGAGGTTGCATACGTTGCGAGAGGCCCGGGTCTTGCCGGTGCTTGTTTGAAACAAGGGTGTGGGAGCCCTTTCAGCCCACGGCCACATTCCTTTCCGGAGATGGTTGCAGAGGAAAGCAAAATGGAGTAAGGGCAAAAACACTGGAAAAGCCAGGAATATCCTTTTAATTTAAAGCTCCTGGACGGGTACTTCAGCTTCTTAAAATGGGGGGAGAAATCTGTACAAACCCGGGGAACCCAAATATTTGGTGGTGTCCGAAGGGGCGGAGCTCCCCAGAAAAGGGGTGGGGCTATTTGGGGACTCCAGGGGGCAGATCTAGTAGGCTGGATTTGGCTGGTGGGGCTGGGGTCCAGCCCCCCGGGTTTAAAGAGCTCCCGGTTAAGTGAGCGTGGAAACTCCTCTGAGATTAGTTTGGCACTGCTGTGGTTCGTTTGCAAGCTGGCTTTGCTGAAAGTGCGACTGAGCAGGAGAAAGGCCAAATGAGGAGGGCAGATGGCGAAAGCCAGGAGGGAAAGGAGCCGTGGAAATACGGAATGCCTGGAGCAGAACGAAGGCCAAGCCGGGAGAACAGTTTCTAAAAGCAAGACCGGTCGGCCTTGAAAACACACGCACCAGCCGCTCAGAGCAGAACAAGGGCCGAGCTGGGAAGGAAAACACGTGGAAACAGGAGGGGAAGCCGTTTTGTAAAATTCGGGGTGCTCAGAACAACGTGTACTTGGCAGGGGTGCCGGACAGCAACCGCCTGGCTGGGCCCGGACTTTACCGGCTGGCGGTCTTCGTAAACCACGGCTGCTCGGCGATGGACGGCACAGCTTCATCCAGCAGAGGGAAGGACTTGATGAAACTCAGCATCTCGTCGGGAAAATCATTGGAGGTCTTGAAGGCCGAGGCTCTGCCAATGCCGGCACAGCAGCCGGGTCTGCAAGAGAAGAGAGGCCACGAAGGCGTAGGGGGAGTCAGGCAGAGCGTGTGCGTGGATGGAGCACACCGCACAGAACACCCCGGGATCTCTGCCTCCACATTTTTGAAGAAAGCAGCTTTCCGCACAGCCCACTTACATGTTTCTGAGACTATTCTAACAATACTGAGGACTAGCATCTTGTTTAAAGCTAAGCTGCCAAAAAAAGAGAAAAAAGAAAAGAAACGGAAATCCAGTTTGAAAATCCACCTTAGGGGCTAGAAACTTGATTTTTGTTTTGAAGTGAATGGGAGCTTCTCTGGAAGACAGTTTCTGTGGGCCATGCAGCATCCAAACACTTCCACAGAATCTGTCTCCCCACCTTCCCCTCTTAACCTCACACTCACACGCGCCTGATCATCAGCTGTGACTCATCGTACACCATCCCCTCTTCCAGAGCTGTAAGCGGATTAGACAAGCGCCTCGTGATTATGAGGATGAGGCACAGCTTTAATACCTGGGCTTCGGGACCTTCTCTTCGGGGATGGGAGTCCAGGCTGCGTCCGCGTTCTTTTGCTCTTTGAATTTGCCGTCAAACACCCGCTCCACTTCGTCCATGTAGAAGGCACAGACTGCAGAGCCCATGATGCTGGGCAGAAGACCGAACAAGAAGGAGCAATGGAAACCGCAGGCCTCGGCAGACTCAGCCGCGCATGTTCTGCGCGAAGGGGCTGCCCAGGTTCTGCAAGGTGCGACTTGAACGGACGCGGCCGGCGGGGCAAGCCATGCGCAAAGGTGCCGCGGTGGGTTCTCGAACAGCCTCGCCACGGGGGCCAGCTGAACCGGCACCACAGCGCCGCACTCGGCTTGTGGGGGGGGGGGGGGCTTTGGGGGGGAACCCTTTGGGTCGGGGGGGAAAAGATCGAAAAGAGGCCGGCCGGCCCGTTCTCGCGGGACACATCCGTGACGGCCTGGAGGACGTCGAAGTAGAAGAAGGAGTCGCCCGGCACTGAGCAATTGAGACGGGCTTTCAGGAACGACGTCCAGTACTTCTCCAGCACGCGAGGGGAGCCCCCCCGGTCGTTCTTGCCGACCCCCCCCACGGGGGAAAAGATGACCTGCAGGGGGGGGGGGGGAGGCAGGAGTTAGAACGGAAGGCAGCGGCCAGTTTCAAAGGCGAACTGGTTCGGTTTGCAGAATTGCATAAGCTTGCATTAAAAGTGACCCAACCCGGTTTCTCACTCCTGTGTCAACGGGGTTTGCAACAGCTCCACCACCTGGTGGGGCAAAAAAGGACGAGGAGAGCTGGATCAGGTGTGACTCCGCACCTAGACACTCACCCGGCCCAGAGCGGTGTACTCCATGGAGATCTCGCGGAAGAAGAAGTAGACGAAGTCCCTGTACTCCAGAGCATGCAGAAAGTGGGGTTCTGTGGAGAAACGCTGTTTAGAAATGCGGGCATGCAGGATGTGGGGCGGATGGCGACGGCCGTGGGGCCATGGTCTTCGTTCTCCGTTTGCTCGTGGGGGCTGCGACGGGGCCAGCGGCTAAAGGGACGGGGCCCACAGCACTGGCGCATTTCAGGGGGACTTGTAGCATCTCGAGTCTGTCTACACATGCACAGGATTGCTCCCAACACATCGCATGGAATGAGAATTCCAACCTGCGTCTGATGCCTCTTGAAACGCTTTTGTTCTGATCACCATGTTCATCCCCCCTTTAATCGAGAATTTTGAATAGTTCCCTCTTAGTTCTGCTGTGGCTCTCGCACTTCTCATGAAACTGTTTTCAGCAGCGGTCTGTTAGGTTGTTTCTAATACTTGTGATTTTATTTATGTTTATTTGGAAACAGCCCCAAGTTTGATTTTCGTCTGAAGAGGAAGGATGTAACAACAGGCTGAACTGTAATGAACAGAGTTGGGAGTTTTTATTTTTAAAAATTTATTTACTGAAATATTATTGCTCAATGGAGTATTCCCCAAAATGGCATCTGCTGACTTCAGCTCCAAGTATCCCCACCATACTAGCTGGGGATAATGGGGATTGTTAGTTCAGTACATCTGGCAGACCCCAGTTTGGGGAAAGCTGGTTGAAACTTGGGGTTTGTATTTTTGGGGGAAATGCCAGAAAAGGATCTTACCTCCAAAGGCAGCCCCAAAATATCCATCTTGTAATGAGAAATCCTGATTTTTTGAATGTAAACACAAATCCACACCCACTAAATACCCCTTCTTTCTCCCTTGAAAACGGCGAGGGCAAAATTACCCCGCGGTGCCATGCCAAGGACGCCCCCAGCCTCACCTCTCAGCCACTTGGAGTCGTAGCGCACGGTCCGGAGCACTGGGCTTCGCTCCCCCAGACTGCGGTAGATCACCGCGTCGCTGGCCAGGAAGTCGGCCACCGTGGCAGAGTACAGGTTCCCTTCTGCAGGCAGGAAACACAGAAACAGCGCGAGTCAGGCGGGGCCTCCCGGGCCATCTAGTCTGACCCCCGGCTCCAGCCGGCTCCGCTCACGACATGCCCACCATGCGCATGTCCAGCCTAGGAAGGAAAAGAGAAAGCGGTGATTCCCACGAGGTCGTGCTCGGGGCACTAACATCCTCCTTAATGGAGGCACACGTGGAAAGTTCTAGCCAGCCATGCCCGTTCCGAAGACACTCCATTCCATTCCCCGTCCCTTCTCCGTCTCCATGCCGTTCCCTATCCTATGCGTGGGGAGCGGGGCAGGAAAGCAAGGCAGCTCTGCCCCCATGAAGCAGGCCCTTTCTCAGTCTATTCCATTCCATTTCCCCAACATCGCTGGGATGGCGATGCGTCGGGGGCTGCCCCAGACTCCAGTTGCTAGGGGCCAGTTGCTAGAGAACCTGCGGCCTCCGTGGCCTCTCGGGAGCCTTCTGGGATGGAGGGTTGGATGTTCCCTCAAGCTCACATCCCTTGCAAGGTTGTTGGGAGGATCAGGCAGGGTATGTGTGGGAGGTCACACAGGCAGGCTGCAGGGGGTATTCCGAGGCAGCGGGGCGGACAGAAGGGCCGTGGCTCAGTCGTGGCCCGGGCCCCACTGCGAGCCCCACAGAGCCACTGCTGGCCGGCTTAGTCTGGAGGAGTCGGCACAGAGCCCTCCAGAAGTTTGGGAGCGCAACTTGCAGAGCTCCTGACCCACAGTCACAAGGGCTGGGGCTGTGTTTCCCACCCCGGCATGCCCTGGGGAGCAGAAGGGTGAAAACTGCAAAGAGACCCCAAGCACATAGTCATGGTCTGCACATTCACAGCTCATATTCGAGTTAAGGAAGGCAGAGGCCCTGCTCCGGGAGCCCTTCTTGCAGGAGACTAGGAGAGTGGCTACTCAGAAAGGGCCTTCTCTGTGGTGGCACCCCATCTATGGAATATGCTCCCCGGAGAGGTTTGTCTGGTGCCGATGCTTTATTCTTTTTGGCATCAGGTGAAAACTTTTTAATTTTCCCACCGTTTTAATGTTCAGTTTGTTTTAACTGTTTTTATTTTGATTGTTGGATGCTGTGTTGTTTTGCTACTTTATTCTTTACCGTAAGCCAACTTTTATTTAAAAGTTTTAAATCAAAGAAAAGAATAAATAAATAAAACGAGGAAGCCAGAATACCAGGCACAGGCCCAAGTGTTGTAGACGTACCAGCAAAAAGCGCGACGTTGGGCTGCTTTGCATCAAAGGGGCACCGTGCCTGCCCGTTCAGTTCTTCCCCTTCCTGTTCCAAGCTGCTGATCTACGAAGGGGGAGCAGCCAAAGAAAAGGAGGAGTCAGTCACAGGCCCATGGCCTAAGCCCTGCCCTCTGGAGCCAGAGCGGGTCCAAGAGCTTTCCACGAAGCCCTTCCGCAGCGGAGGGGTCCCAACAGACTGCGAGATCCCGGTGGTGGACGGGGGACCATCTTCCCACACTCCTTGCCACTAGTGAGCGGTGCCTCTTCCTACCTTGTAGGTCCGACACACCGGGTTGAAGGCGTTGGTGCCGCACGCCAAGAGTGTTTGGTCGTTCTTCGGAACTAGGACTTTGATGTAGTTGTAGCACTCGCTCTGTGGTCGGGCAGAGCACAAAGTTAGGTTCTGAGCCTTTCTCGGAGTGAGGGACAATGATCCTCCCTCACCTGGGCGCATCCCACTGATCCCGAGCCTTACGCAGGTGACCCTGAGATGCTGTAGCTCTCACCTGAAGCTTTCCTCTCATTGCACACTTGCCCATGTCTTGTGTCCTCCACGTGAGATGCTGAGAACGGGAAGAAGGCAGAGTCATCAGTACCAGACCAGGGTTCTTGAAACTGAAGTTGGGTTCTAGGTAGCACATGAAGCAGTGCCTAGAACCATCATGGCCAGGAACAACCTTGGAGAGCTTGCACTTCTAGCAGAAATGGTTTCTCTTTGGTTGTCTCAATCAACAACAGCTCAGCAAACCCGAGAAGAATGTTTTGGATCACCTCTAGCAACTCCTGCAGGTTCTGGGTAGCTCAACTTGGGAAGGGGACCCAGACAGCGGATAAAATATTCCTACCAGAATAGGTTCAAGGCATTTCATAGGGTCCTATGAGGTTCTGGGGAGGTCAATCAGTGAGATATTTTAAGCATCACATAAAATATCCCAGTTCTAGGGATAGGCTAGATAGCTCCCATAAATTATCATGGGCTCTAGGCAGCTCAATCATTTGTGGAGTTTTCATCAGCACACAGGAACAATCCACAGGGATGGATTCTAGGTAGCTCAGAAGAACTGACTGGTAGGCTTCAGATCTGGGTGGCACAGAGAACCATCCAGCTTTCTAGCAGAAGGCGGTGGAAGTGTAAGACGTCTCACTGACATGGCTGTAAGGCAGGGCCGTCTTAACAGCATTATGGGCCCCGGGCAAAGCAGTGTCCTGGGGTTCCCACGACAACTACAACTACTGCTAACTTTGGAAGCTTTCCAATTTTCCAAGGGTTAGCATACACAGATTAGTATGGGGCCCACGGGCAAGTGCCCATCAGGCCCCCGCGTTAAGACGGCCCTGCCTTACGGGCAAGGGCTCAAGAGACGTTTGAAACCACCTAAGAAGTTCCTGAATTCCTGCGCTAGCACAGACAAACTGTTAAGTGATTCCCAAAATAGCGGGAGTGCGAGGAAGCCAGGAGGCTAAACCAGCTACACATGTCTTCAGAGTGGAGAGCAGCAGAAATCTTCAGGGTGCCAGGAGCGCCCAGGCCGATCCAAACTCTGTGCTGTGAATCTGGGAATCAGACTGCCCCTGGGCCACAAAACTACTCCCCAACCGAAATTAAATCTGCAAGGAGAACTCCAGGCTGACTGTTCAATCTCTTGCCATGCCCTCGCTTGGCCACTGCTAGTTTTCTAAACTACACAGATGAAGAAACGGGGGAGAATTTTGTTCAGGAGACATTTTAAAGCAAACTGTCCTTATTTGCACTTCCTCGGCTGGTATGTCTATTGCAACAGAGTTATTGTTTCTAACTTCTGGACAGCACTGTAATCTAAAATTGCAGTCCTTGGCCCAAAAGTCGCATACAAATTGCATCTATTTGGGGAAGACTGCACACAGATATGCATATATTAGGGAACGGTGCAAGGAAAAGTAAATGCAAATTTCCAGGCTTTTTTTTAAATCGCAGCCTGACATGGAAAGAGGAGAGAACAGATTTATGGCAGAATATTGATCAGATCCTGGCATGCAAGAAAGCATCTACTGATGAAAGCAGCATGCTAAAACACACATTTCTGCGCATCGCTTGCAAAAGAACACCTGCAACATGCAATATGCGCATTTTAGGAAAGGACAAGCACAGAATTGTGCCTACATTCCCAGGGGACTAAAATAACAAACTATCGAGAAGGCAAGGTATGAAGCTGGCGAAGGGCTGGACAGGGACCCTGTTCGGGTATGTCTGAGCAATCCAGCAGCGTGCGCCTCACCCTGATTGGAGAGAAGTCATCCTTGGTCCGTCGGAGATCGAAGGCGTAGACGTGGTCCCTGGTGGCCAGGGCGGTGGAGGCAAAGGGAAGAGAAGAGAGAAGACAGAGAGGCTGGTACCTGCAGTCACGTGCCCTGGGGAAGGGGAGCTACGGAAAGCTGTGCAGCTTTGGACATTTAGGCTGGTGGCCCAGCTTTCGCTGCTCGTCTTCCTCCAGTTCAACCAACTGGCAGAGTGGAAAAGGGATCTGGGCAAGGAGGGGGCAGCTGCTTGCTCAGGCAAATATTAGCCTCCCCTCTTTCTACACTCGCTTGGTGCATATGCCAGCCAACTCCTCGGGATCAAAACTGTCCAATAAAGCATTCCTGAAGCTTGGGTTCTTCTTCTTCTGGTTTTAAGCGTTTGGAGCCCTGATGCTCAGCAGGACCGGAATCCCAGCTCGCAGGGGGCGCCCGGGTTCGAGACGCAAGTGCAAGCCGGGGGGACCGGAGAAACGCGGCGGCCACCAAGGCCACGCCGTGGCTTACCGGGCAGCGATGAAAAGGGTCCGGTTGAGGAGCTGCATGCTCTGGAAATCCAGTCCCAGCTGGGCTGTGTCATTGTCTCCGGCGAGGCCTCTGAAGTAAGGGTATTGGGCCGTTCCTATGGAAAGCAAGAGTGAACGGCCTTTCAGAAAACTGAAATCGGGGGCCGCCTTTCCCTATTTTCGTATGGACATTACCCGAATTTATATCCTGCTCGGCAAAGGTAGCAAAGTAGGAAGCATAAAAGGCAGCAGCATCCAGATGACAGGAGAATGTATATACAAGGACACTACACAAACATGGTCAACCGCCAGACCCTACAGGGCTGGGCCCCCTTTCAGGAAAAGCCAGAAAGGTGCGGCTTAGGAAGACACCGGAGGGTCGGATCTGTGCGGGCTCACCTGCCCCTCAAACTGCACACTTCCGGTCAGTGAGAGGGTGTGAAGCAGCACCTTGAGCACACCTGCCTGCTTTGATCATGCAAACTTTAAAAAGGGGTGTCCAAAAGAGGGGGTGCATTGATTTGGGGGGTGGGTGGGATCTGCCCCACCCTGGGAGAACCAGGTGGCACTCACCTGTCACACCAACAGTGCTCAGAGGGATCAGGTCCTTTGGAAAGCAGGTTGCAGATGCCAGGAAGAAAAAGAGGGCAGGAGGGACAAAAGGAAGTCGCATTCTCGGGGCAATCTGGCGGGAGACCAGAACTGAGGCAGGCGGGCCCTAGGAACAAAGCATCCTCTTTCAGCAGCCCCTGGAAGAGAGGAAGGGAGGAGGGGGAGGGGGCTGTTGACTTTTATTTTTCTGGGATTGCATTGCATCCAGGGGTGGGGAACCTCCAGGGAATCCAGGGGTACAAATCTCATCTCAGAGCAGCTTTTGGGGCCCGCTGGAAACTGCCCTGGGTCAGGCTCTGCGTTTAAGTGCTGCAGAAGAAAGCAAAGACAGCAGGTCCTGCTCTCCTGGGAGCTCTGGGTTCCCTTCTTTGGGGAAATCGAGTCCTGAGTCTGCTTGCAGCAGGTTCTTATCCGTGGTGGCTCCAGATTCCTCTCCTACCCCCAGGAACTCTGCCGGTCTCCTTTAGACCAGCAGAAGCAATTCCATTTCAATGAACATAAGAGACTGTCCTTCCCCTTTTATACACTGTATTTTTCGAAAGAAAACCAATCCATTTGCCTGTCTTTGCTTTGAATGGCAGATCTGCACATTTATTCTTTTCGAACTCACGTGGGAAGGCAGCCGAGAAATGCCGCGAGATAAGCCACCGGGCCACTGCGGCCTGACCCTGGCTCTGCGGTTCCGGGAGCACCTGGCAGCCAGGCAGTGTCTCCGGGCCTCGCAGAACGGAGCGGTGGCTGCACGGGCAGGCTCGGCCGGCCGGCCGACGAGTCCTGGGGTGCAGCTGCAGCTGACATTATACCCCTGCAAACCCTCAGCCATCTCCCCTCCCCACCAAAAAAATGGGCCGAAGGAGTTCCTTGACAGCCGCTGCCAGCTCCTAAAATATCTCTCTATCCATCACTCTCCCGCGGGGGCGGGGGGGTCCAAGCGAGCCCCCGGGCCTGCCCATCGGCTCAGCCAAGATCACACACCTGCTTTCGGGGATAGGGTTGCGGTGGAAGTCCCCTTGCGCAGACCTGATGGGGTTAAGGTTTCGCAGCGGTCTGGGGGAAGAGAGGTGCAGATGCAGCGGCCCTGGGGTTAGCTGGGGGAAAGAGAAACGGGGTGAGGGTCTACGGAGAGGGGGGCATCTCTGTATATTTCTCTCCCCCTTCCGTTTTGAGGATAGAAAGAAGAAAGCACTCTCCGTACCAGAGTCCTTACTTCGTGTAGCTCTGGACTCTAAAAAAATTATCGTTGTGGGTGTGGACGAAGCTCTTAGTACATACGGCTTCAAGCGCCACACAATTATTGTCCTCGGTGGTGTGCAGGAAGAGCTTGCTACGTACAGCTCCAAGCGCTAAACAATTAGTCCTTGCGGTATTAAGGTATTATGTTCCAAGTGCTAAAGAATAGTAGGCATTTATCTCACTGTCTGACGCTCTTATTACACACAGCTCCTAGCATTAAAAAGAGAGAAATAGAGTTGCATTTTCAGGGCGATGCTTTATTCCAACAGCCGGATGCTGCCCAACTGCTGTCACTCAGCGCTCCTCAAAGCAACTGAACAGCTGAGAAAATACAAAACCGATTAAAGCACACACATACCCACGCTCAGAATACAAGTCAACAAAATCAAGTGAACACAATTGCAGAAAAAAGCAGCAACCAGAGAATACAAAAATGGACGAGGGAATCCTTGAATGACAACGGCTCCCTCACAAAGATTCTGACCCTATAAAAACATCACAAAAGGCATTGGCTAAAAATATTCAATGTTCTGGCACGAGACCAAGCAAAGTGTTGCAGGATTCTTAACGCTGGTTAAGAATCACAAGCATTTATAGAGGCGATCGGGCTCTCATCACGTACGGGTGGAGTGGTCTTCCAAGGGACAGTGGGTTCCAAATCCATCAGCCACAGCTGGCAATGTTGATGGTCCTGGAGAGCCACCACTGACCCCAGCGTAGCTGGCGCTTGGGGGTCCCACGGCTCTTACATACACCCCCAGTTTGGAGTCACAGCACAGCTCGCATCCAGAAGATTTCCCCCTTTTTCCAAGATGCAAAAGGAGGGAATTGTAGAAAAATAAACAGGCTGCTGCACGTGTGTGGAGCGGCCCCGGTCCATGTGAGAAGGATTCATGGGAAAGGACACGACGCCATGACAAAAACCTCACAGTCAAATTTCCCACTCCAAGGGTACCCACATCCTGAGATGTAAAGCCCACATGATGAACTTTGACTGCCATTACAAGACGACTCTTGTCCACAAATGCAACTAGAATCACACCTGGTGTAAGTTACCTGGTGCGTCTGCGGAGGGCGGGGGGCGGGGGCGCTTAAGGCACAAGAGGCTGCAATGCGGCAGTCACACTTTTGCTTCCTCTGGTGCCTTTCCGGTCTCACCCTCTTGAGACTGCACCCTCCGTGGGGGCAGAGACTTCTCCCCGTTCCGCCGAAGAAAGGCGGAATCACACTGTACAACCAGAACAAAGAACTCGCCACCAGAACAGTACACGGAAGCCACCTTCTCCGTCCGGAGCACGGCTGGGGCTCTTCCTACACCAAAACCAGTTCCCCCAGTTGGCCATTCCCAGCACAAAGGAAGCCACGCACAGCGCAGTGGCGTAGGCTGGACCTCCGCGGGGAACCAGCTGCCGTTTCTCGACGCGTACCTGGCGCAGCCGAGGATCCTTTGGGATGTCCCGGGCGTGCGTGGGATGTTGCTTTGGTGCCCAAGGACCACCTGTAGCTCCAGCTCCGCCGGGGAAAATTTTCATCGGCACAGCCAGAAACGCCCTTTCTCTGCTTCCTTCTCCATCAACGTAAGGCTGCACTGGGCCAAGAACGGAGGCATTAAGCAAGCTTTGCCCAAAGGCCCATGTGGCGCAGTGGGGAGGGTGTGAGGCCGGGACTCAGGAGGTCTCGGTTCGAGTCCCCGCTAAGCCATGAAGCTCGTGGTGACGCTGGGCCAGGCAGTGATTCTCGGCCACGCCTGCCTCGCAGGGTTGTTGTGAGGACAAACCAGTGAGAAGGAGGGCTTTGCAAGCTGCTCTGGTTGCTCGCAAGAGGGAAAAAGGCAGGAGAGAAATGTGCAATCATGCGCAGCTGGATAGGTGATCGCCACATCTGGCCTGAACTCAACATGGAAAGGACAAGGCGGAGACTGGGGGAACAGAGTAAGAACTGAGCGAACCACAATTTAGGGAGTCTAATCAAAGTGTGTCCTAAGGACCCCAAACTCAATACAATATTCCCAATCCAAGGTTTAATCTGACCAACACTTCTTTCCATCACCCCAACCCAACCATGGATGAATTCAGCACGCCCACCCCTCGCGGAGATTAAATCCCAGTTCATGAGCCTGCCCTGCAAGGCCTACCTTGCAAGGCCGTTGTGAAATTCAAACAGCCAAATTTGCGGACAGCATGAAAATGCAAGAAGGGTCCCCAGTTGGAACTCGATGGAGGAGAAGCCAAAGTGGATTTCCACAGTCAAGAGCAATGGGGCAGAATGCCCAGCGTGAGGGGCAAGTTGCCAGCTTTTATAAATAGCCAAGGAGCAGGATGGGGATGCAGGTTTTAGCCATGGATGGCCATGAAACAGCCGTGCGATATTTCTGGAGGCAGGATCACCGAGTCAGAGAAGGGAGGGGAAGAAGTGAGCAAAAGACAGGAGAGAACTGGATCGGGCAACCCTTGCAAGGAAAGGAAAAACCAAGCAAGGGTTTGGCAGAGAGAGAGAGAGAGAGATTCTTGGCTTTGGCAGGCAAAAACAAAAATAGAGAAGGCATGCTCCTAGTCCTCATGGTGGAAGAGAATAGGTTCTTTTTATTTCCCCGCACCTTTCAACCAGGCTGTCTGCACCTGTGAACCAACAGCTCCGCAGACCCCCACCCCCACCCCATCTGCCGAGCACTTTTGCAATTAACCCCCTGCTCCGCAACCCTGGCCCTGCCGTTGTGCGCTAACAATCGGCCAGCGGAAATGAGCTTGCAAGCACCAACAAGCAGAAAACATGGCCAGCCCAATCTTGGCTTCTCTTACCCCAGCGCCGCCGCTCCCGACATACACATTCTTTTTCTCATACAGCCTGAAAATTAATTTCTGCTGAGATCACCTCGGCTGAAGCCATCTTAATCTTTCGGTGTGGCACTCACGGGTTGGGGTAGTATTTTTAAGAAATAATATTATATATATATATTTCTGAAGACGCTGACGAGGTGACATGACTGCTATACTGGATTTGTTTACCCTTCTTCCATTGAACTTTCCAGCGGGTGTATAATTAGAACCGCGACACCAGGGCACGCCGGTGGCAGCCGTGGTGAGATTTAATAATAATTCTGTATTCTATATTTATATCTTATACGGGCCGGCGGAAATGAGATTTCAAAGGTAGGACCCAGCGTTAGTCGCACCTACAGGAGACCCACTGAACTGAATGGGGCTTACAGCAGGCCGAGCTAACTGAAGCCCCATGCACTCCAGTGGGTCTACTCTAAGTAAGACCGACCCAGATGCTCCCCAAAGAGGCGGCCAACGACAAAGCCCCGAGAGCGGGAGTCGTGGCGGGGGGTTCTGCGCAGGGGCGATGTGGCCACCCCCCGGAGCGTGTCCGCTCTCTCAGTGGGCACAGAGCTCCTCGGTTTGAGTCAGTGGTCCAGGTCCAAGTCCACCTTGAAGTACTTGGTCTCGGCTGATGTTTTCGTCGCTTTGCTCTGGTTTGGGCTTTTGAAATGCGAACTTCCGGCGCGTTGGCCATTTCATATTTGGCATGGGTTTGGCCGTCTGGGCACAGAATAAAGACTCGGAATGGGGGCCAAGGGGCCCCGGAGCGTGAGGGACGCTTGGCCCTCACAGCTTCGAGGCTGAGCCTCGCAGGAGCTCTCCGTGGGCGGGAGCAGAGTCCGGGACGGTGCTCAGCACCATGGAGAGCCGGACAGTCCTCTGCTTGACGGGCCGGCCAGGGTGACGGTCAACGACCCCGGGCGGGAGAGTGGCACAGGTTCGTGGGAGATGCCTAGCCACATTGAGCACCCCCGCCCCCATGCAATAGAACTGAATGGGCAAAACATGCAGGCCGCCCAGTCAGACAGACCCCCTGCAGGTTAGAGCTGCTGCGCTCCCGCAGACATTCAGGATCCGCACCTGCACACGCCTTCCCCAAGTGGCCCCCCCCTGCATGTGCGGGACTACAACACCCATACCAGGTGCAGAGGGTGAGCACCCAAAGGCACCTGTTTGCGGGGGGCTAATTTTCCCTTGGCAAAGAGCAGGTGCAGGTGTACACAAGCCATGTCCTCTTCGGCTCCTTCTGGGGGAGCCCGCGGGGGGCCACCCTAGCCCTGGGGCTTGGGTGCTGCCCGTGCCGCTGCTCCCATGCTCCGACGCTTTGCCTACCGGCTTCCTTTCCAGTGGGGATCTCAAGACCGCCCCCCAGGAGCCCTGTGCTACCAAGAGGAGACAGTCCCGTTTGGACGCAGAAGCAGGAAGCAGCCGAAGGGGTGAAGATGGCGGATTCTATCCGATGGGGCAGATTAGCAAGGGGGAAGAAAGCCACGCACTCAGAGCAGGTTGGGAAAAGGGGTGGCCCCATGGCTGCCGGGGGAGCTCATGAAAACACGGCCGTCAGCAGGACTCCAAAGATCACCTGCTGGAAGGCAGCACCTTTCTGCATCGGCCTGTTCCGAGAGGCTCCTGGGGGAGCCATTGCCCCCGTCATCCCACCCCACCCTGGCAGTCCAGCCGCCGGGGAGCTCCTGACCCCAGCGGCTCTCCCCGCAGGGGGCAACCTGGAGACCTCTCCGGAGGGTTGCCTGTTGGCTTCGCAGCCTGTTCGGCCTCACGCTGGCCCTGAGCAGGAGCAGCGCCACGGACCACGGAAGGCTGCAGCCTCACCCAGAAGCCCAGGCGTGGAGGGAGCAGTCGCACCCTCCGTGGAACATGGGCGGCCTTTGGCGCTTCCCCTCCGGGGCCGGGCTGCAGGTGCAGCCAGCACGCTGCTCGTCCCCTGGATATTCCCCACAGTGCCTCCCCGGGACAGAGCGTAAGAGGAGAAAGTGTGTTTTCAAGAAAACGGGGCGGGGAAGTCGCTCCTTCCT